CCCCACCTGATGTGCAGCCCCCCACCCCCCACCCTGCACCCTCATGGGCATCACCTGGATCTGACTCCTGTCCTCATCCCCAGCCCCCAGTGAGGCCCAGCAGAAAGGATGTGCTTGGGGAAAGCCAGCAGAAGGAGAGAATGAATTACTGGGATGAACAAGGAGAACTACAGCGCAGGTGAGGGGCCGACAGGGAGTGTGGAGGAAAGTGCTGGAGCCAGAAAGGAATAGGGAAGAGCAGAGAAAGGGGGACGAAGAGGAGAGATGGAAACAAACAGACAGTGGCCAGAGAAGCGGGGAGAGGATGTGGGCAGTGCCCAAATCCACACTGGGTGGGGGCCCTTGGGGAGCAGGTCGAGGTTTCAGATTCTTTTCTGGGTGCCCAGTGTCGCCCAACGGGGAGCTAGCGTGCCATCGGCTTGTGTCGTGGTTGAATTAATCTCAAAATAACCAGACTGCAGCAAATCATTGTTGAAAGAATGAATAAACAAACAATGGGGCTATGGAAGGGCTGGGGGCCAGGGCCGAGGGAGGGCCAGGTGATCCCATGGCTCCGGATGATGCTTGGATGATGCTTTCCAACCCACCTGCTGTCCTCACCTTCGGCTCACATGTTGGGCTCACAATTCTTCGTAGCCAGATGGAGGGGCACGGAAGTGAGCGACCAGACTCAGGCTACCTGGGGTGGCAGAGGGAGCTTAGTTAGCACTTGTCCCCACCCCTACCTGCTCCCCCAGAGCCCCCAGTGGGCCCTCCCCAACTCCCGAGGCAACAGTCACCTGCACTGAACCAGAGGAGAGCCGAAACCCAGCCCAGGTAGAAGGACCAGGAGAAGCAGGACTGGATCTGGGGGTGTCGAGGTTGGCTCCACCGATGACCGGTGTAGACGGCCATGGCCACCACCATGAAGACGGCTGACACAAGAGACAAGGAGACTGCTCAGCACCTCTGCGGGAATGCACAGTCCCCAAGGCCCACGGCCAGTCCACATTCCTTACCTGCAACAAAGGCTGTGATGGACGAGACCAGGGGGCCGCGGCCCGGGGCGGACAGTGAGGGGATGCAGGACAGGACCAGGAGGCCCACAGACCCCAGGCCACACAGGGCGGCCAGAATGCTGAAGGTCTGCGTCACGTGGATGAAGTCTGCTCAGAGAGGAGACCTGTGAGGACCTGTCCCCTCTGGCTCTTCTCCCCTGTCCCCCAGACAAGACACGCCACTCCCCCTTACCTGCTACTGATTCCCCACCCCGCTTCGGCCAGAGGCCCGAGTGAGCTGAAGAGCTGGGCCCGATGGCCATGAACCAGAAATCCGTGCTCAGAGCAACCAGGGCAGAGACCAGGGCCAGGGAGGCGGCCAGCAGGGCCAGGGACCGACAGGGCTCCATGGGGGTGAGCGCTGGGTTCCTGGGTCTCTGAGAGAAGAGGCTGTGGACCCGGACTCCGGGGTCCTCTGAGCCCCCCCAAAAGCAAAGAAGCCAGCAAGCAGTTGAGGCAACTCGGGGGGCTCCTTAAGACCAGACCGGTTCTGTTTCACCCATTTCAGTTCCTGGCAGCAGATTCTCACACATACTCCCTTCCTGTGTTGAACCGATGACGTCTCCCCTCCCCGAGGTCCTGGTCCCCCACTCATACTGTGTGGTGGGCAGGGTGTCACCAGTGGTTTGGCTGATGGTTCAGAACCTGCCTCGCTATCTCAGGTTCCGCAGCTCTCACCCTCGGAGCCTTGCTCAGCACCAGAGGGGGGGCTTCCCGGAAGAGATGACAGGCTTGGGGGCTCAGTGGTGGGGTTGGCGCATGAAGCCAGGGTGTGAGTTCAACGAGGGGAGGGATGTGGCCACCGGGGACAGTTGGGGGATGTGTCATGTCTTCCTGTGAATGCTGCAACTTTCCGTGGTGAGAGAGGTGGGGCCCCCCACTCTAAGGCCTCCATGATGCCTGGGGCTGAAGGAGAAAAGAGCTGGAGATGTGGACACCAGGTCCTGAGGGAGGAGGGGGTGGGTGGGCAGGTGGCGGGTTCCTGGGCCCCTGCTTTGCAGCGCATGCTCAGGGCAGGCAGAAGGGAGAGAATCAGGATTGTAAAAGTCTGTGGTGGGGAAAACACGCCCACCTCCTCCTCAGACGTGTGAGTTCACACAGCCCCGCTCTGAGCATGGCCAGCTTGACCATGAGGGTCATGGTACCTGCCAGGGGCCCAGGGATGTCAGTGCAGGGCCCTCCGGCCTTCCAAGCGTCTTCCTCCCACACCAGTATCAGGCCCTGGGGTGAACCTCACCTGTGAGCAGGTAGAAGGTGAAGGTGCCACAGCCCAGGGAGAAGGTCCAGGCAAACTTGATCCCTGTGGAGCTGGAATGGCCCTGAAGAGGACCTCTGATATGAAGACAAACCTGAGACAGGGAAGCAGATTCTGAACCACTGTCCAAACAACTGATGACACCCTGCCCCAGCACACGCTGTGAGTGGGGGACCAGGACCTCGGGGAGGGGAGACGTCATCGATTCAACCCAGGAAGGGAGGATGTGTGAGAATCTGTTGCCAGGAACTGAAATGGGTGAAACAGAAGCGGTCTGGTCTTAAGGAAACCCCCAAGTTGCCTCAACTGCGTGCTCGCTTCTTTGCTTTTGGGGGGGCTCAGAGGACGCCTGGAGTCCGGGTCCACAGCCTCTTCTCTCAGAGACCCAGGAACCCAGCGCTCACCCCCATGGAGCCCTGTCGGTCCCTGGCCCTGCTGGCCGCCTCCCTGGCCCTGGTCTCTGCCCTGGTTGCTCTGAGCACGGATTTCTGGTTCATGGCCATCGGGCCCAGCTCTTCAGCTCACTCGGGCCTCTGGCCGAAGCGGGGTGGGGAATCAGTAGCAGGTAAGGGGGAGTGGCGTGTCTTGTCTGGGGGACAGGGGAGAAGAGCCAGAGGGGACAGGTCCTCACAGGTCTCCTCTCTGAGCAGACTTCATCCACGTGACGCAGACCTTCAGCATTCTGGCCGCCCTGTGTGGCCTGGGGTCTGTGGGCCTCCTGGTCCTGTCCTGCATCCCCTCACTGTCCGCCCCGGGCCGGGGCCCCCTGGTCTCGTCCATCACAGCCTTTGTTGCAGGTAAGGAATGTGGACTGGCCGTGGGCCTTGGGGACTGTGCATTCCCGCAGAGGTGCTGAGCAGTCTCCTTGTCTCTTGTGTCAGCCGTCTTCATGGTGGTGGCCATGGCCGTCTACACCGGTCATCGGTGGAGCCAACCTCGACACCCCCAGATCCAGTCCTGCTTCTCCTGGTCCTTCTACCTGGGCTGGGTTTCGGCTCTCCTCTGGTTCAGTGCAGGTGACTGTTGCCTTGGGAGTTGGGGAGGGCCCACTGGGGGCTCTGGGGGAGCAGGTAGGGGTGGGGACAAGTGCTAACTAAGCTCCCTCTGCCACCCCAGGTAGCCTGAGTCTGGTCGCTCACTTCCGTGCCCCTCCATCTGGCTACGAAGAATTGTGAGCCCAACATGTGAGCCGAAGGTGAGGACAGCAGGTGGGTTGGAAAGCATCATCCAAGCATCATCCGGAGCCATGGGATCACCTGGCCCTCCCTCGGCCCTCACCCCCAGCCCTTCCATAGCCCCATTGTTTGTTTATTCATTCTTTCAACAATGATTTGCTGCAGTCTGGTTATTTTGAGATTAATTCAACCACGACACAAGCCGATGGCACGCTAGCTCCCCGTTGGGCGACACTGGGCACCCAGAAAAGAATCTGAAACCTCTACCTGCTCCCCAAGGGCCCCCACCCAGTGTGGATTTGGGCACTGCCCACATCCTTTCCCCTCTTCTCTGGCCATTGTCTGTTTGTTTCCATCTCTCCTCTTCGTCCCCCTTTCTCTG